GAACCACCCCGCCCCCCCCCCACCTCCCTTTGATGTTTACAGTGTCGAGAACTGTCAGAAAAAAAAAATATATATATATACAAAGATGCCATTGCTACCAGAAGTCTTTGGATTTTCAGTTTTCATGAAGTACTTTCCTGTCCTGCAACAGAATGCAAGACTTGGCTTAAGCCTCCTCCAAATGAGAGAATTTAAGTGACTCGGTCTACCTAACTTGCTGGTAGATATACTCATTTAATTTATCTGCAAAGGATCTAATTAATTGAAACCAGATTAGAGTAATTAAAAATTAATTAACCCTACACCTGAATTTGGACTGCCACATTGCATAATGAAGCATTATAAACAGATGGATGCTCTGCAGACTGGGTTTTCTGCACACAGATAATTGTGTGTACACTGTGTTCAAGCAGAATTAAGAAATAAATATGTGATTATTTATTACAGTAATCAGCAATATGAAATTGTTCCATAAGAAATCTGTTGCATAATGAAGCATTATAAATGAATGGTTGTATTATTGTAGCATTGTAAACAGATGGGTGTATTGTTGTAGTATAAACTCAACAGGTAAAGCCAGCTATGAAAATGGATAATCCACTGTTGCCATGGCCTTCTGAAAACATAAAATATTTATGGATAACAATACAGTCTAAGTACATACAGCGACTTTCTTGTCTGTAATTCTGAAGTAAAACAGTTTTAACATTCAGTGTATGTAATGTACGTTATTCAATGTCTTATCATCAGCAGTCTCTTAAAGTCTGAAGAAAAGGACATTAAGCATGACACTGTTGCCACATTATGACAACACATGTTAACCCATGGCAGTGAATACCAGTGATAATGAAGCATTCCATTCCAGAACATTCCAAATAAATACATGGTTCTGTAATGTAATATTGTATCTTTTTTATTTATGTATATTTTTTGTTACTGTTTTTAGATGTGTGAGTGGTGTTAATTGGTAATGTCCTTTCATCTGTAGGTTTCCATCTTTTGTATGAGGCTGTTACACCTTGAAATAGGAGCAGGCACATGGCAAAGATAAAAGTATGGTTTATGTACAGCAGACAGGTGCATCATTATAAAAACCAAGAAAAATATGAAGTCAGCTGAGTATGGATTGAAGTTTGCAGAGGTATTATTTAACCACTGCTTAATTTGATTTAGAATCACACTTAGTACCAAACATAAGGTTTGCAGATTACATCTACTTCAGTCGCTGAAATTTTCGTTATTTTTCCATTTGACTGCAACAAACAGCAAACGTTTTTATGTTATTTAAATGAAGTACATAAAATTAACTCGTAGTAGAGAGATATGTTCATCGCTATAAGTTATCTGCAAAACTGCTCAAAGGATTAATTGAACTTTGTGTTTGGAGCATCTACAGTGAAGGCTCTTAAGTTAATTTTTCATTGGTCTGTGCTATTCCAGTAACCCCTATTTCACATGAAACTCAAACTGAACTTTTATCAGTTTTACCCCAAAAAAAAACTGTTCATTGAACAAAAAAAAAAATGCTACATGACATGAAATACAGATTTTGCTGACATCTATTTAATTTTATTTTAAATGTTTGTATATTTATTGATACAGAATATAATGTCTGCCTCTGTGCAATTTACACCTCTACTATTGTTTGCTTTGCTCTTTTGACAGTAGATTTGTATTTGAAATGAATGAACATCAAGACCAGTGAGGGATGCAAAATTGCAAAAAATTAAGTGGAAAAGGGGTGTATTTTGAATTGGAATACATTTCCTGCTCAGTGCTATATAGCATTTGGCAGCCTACTGTGCCTAGTGTTAAGGCTGGATAAGTTACAGAAGTTGTTAAGACAGCTACAGCAGATAGTGACTAAAGCTACGGAAAACTTACTGTATTTGTTGGTGCTGTGTATTCTTCATTGTTTGATCTATTGGGGTGGTGCGACAGGAGGACCACGTCAGTTCCATTACTGACTTTTATTAAGTTACCACTATCTGTTAATGGCTGTGTGCCTATATAGTATACACATGACAGCATTGCCACCTGAAGAATTAGCTGTGATCGCAGCTTCTAAATGAAGGACAGGAAGGAAATATGCGTAATTGAAGCGTGGAAGAAAAAATGTCAAGGATGAATGTGCTACTTTACTCAAAGAACTGGTAGTTGTTGAGACCAAATTTAATTAATGTTTCAGAATGTCTCAGCATTCATTCATTCATTGTTCTGCATAAAGAGGAGGATGGTATAAAAAAGACCTTTTTAAAAAAAACATGTGGAGCATTTGGCTGTTTGTTTGCAGAATATTGAGTTACTGAATGCTGGGTGGGTGTCCCTCACACACATCCTACAAAAGTTGGATATGTGTGACTGAACCCTCAAGTCAACTATCGATAAATAACCTATGTAGAACATTCATTATGCCATAAAACAAACTTGCAGAAACATGGAATTTATGAAGTAGATAAATGGTTGGTTCATAGGTACACAACGTGGAAACCAAGTTATCTACACACACAGAAGCATGATTATGCTGTACTAATATAACTAAAGGTTGCAGACAAACATATTTTTAATCAGCTGTAGCACACAACTTGTTGGACTCACTGTCCACCCTGCCCAGAGAATGCCTCTGATGATATACGTCCATGTCTGGTGTTCTAGTTGTAACATGTCTATATACACCTTCCCACTTTAATCATATGAACATGGTCAGCTTGAGTTTTATTAGGGGTTAATTCTCATTTTTATAAGAAATTTGATGGCCAAATGCTTTGTTATACTCTCGTTCATACTGTGAAATCTTTCATTCCATGGTTGTCAGAATGGACAAATCAACAGATAATGCAACACTTAACATCTGGCATAAAGTGTTGTCAACAGTGATGTCACTGAAGTTTCCAGTATAATTTAAGTGGGTGTTGATGCAAGAGTTTAGGCATCTGTTGAACACAATAAAACATGATTCTTGTAGTGTAGGAATGCAAATTCTCTTCTCATTTCATTTGCCCTTGTGTTTCATATGGCGAGTCAAAGGAAGGGGAACAGGAGACCAGAATGTGGTCTTCTAGACAGACACTGTATAGTCCTGTATGTGGATGCAAAGCCTGGATCAAATCTTTGCAGGGCCCCTAAGCTGTGATAGACACACACAACCTTTATAACTTTTTTCTAAAAAACATTATGGAGAGGAGATTAAACATTGAAGATCTTTGTTTGATATGATATGGCCAGACTTTTGTTACAGAAAATAATTTAAAATACAAATAAGAAACTGTATCAAAGAAATGTGATATTTAAATAAAAGTAACTGTTATTTTACGTCATTTGCTTTGCATCAGTCGCACAGCTGGACCAGAAATGAAAGCAAGT